AAAACCACATGATCATATCATTAGATGCAGAAAAAGCTTTTGCTAAAATCCAGCACCCCTTCTTGATAAAAACCCTTGAACATCTAGGCATATGGGGAACATACCTTAAAATAGTAACAGCCATCTACGAGAAACCCACAGCCAGCATACTCCTAAATGGACAAAAATTGGAACCAATTCCCCTGAAAACTGGAACAAGACAAGGATGCCCACTCTCACCCCTCCTGTTCAACATAGTATTGGAAGTCCTGGCTTGAGTAATCAGAGAAGAGGAGTCAATCAGGGGTATCCAAATAGGAAAAGAGGAAGTCAAGTTATCTCTCTTTGCAGATGATATGATTGTGTACCTTGAAAACCCAAGAGAATCTGTCAAAAGCCTCCTTACATTCATAAAGGCCTTTGGCAAAGTCTCAGGATATGAAATAAATGTATAAAAGATAATCGCATTTCTCTACACCAATAATAAACAAACAGAAACCCAAATAAAAAACACAATTCCATTCACAATAACCACCAAAAAAATGAAATACCTTGGCATCTTCCTAACCAGAGACGTGAAAGACCTTTACAATGAAAATTACAAAACACTGCTCAAAGAAATCAAAGATGACACAAACAAGTGGAAAAATATCCCATGCTCATGGATTGGAAGAATCAACATTGTGAAGATGTCCATCTTACCTAAGGGAAGCTACAAATTCAATGCAATACCCATCAAATTACCAGCAACATTCTTCTCAGACCTAGAAAAAACAACACAGGAATTCATACGGAAACACAAACGTCCAGGAATAGACAGAACAATCCTTAGCAAAAAAAAACAAAGCTGGTGGTATCACATTACCAGACTTATTACTATAAAGCTACAATCATCAAAACAGCTTGGTATTGGTACAGGAACAGGCATATAGATCAATGGAATAGAATTGAGATTTCAGAAGCAAAACCTCAATTTCTCAACCAACTCATCTTCGACAAAGCCCCTACCACCTACCACTGGGGAGAGGAGAACCTATTCAGTAAATGGTGCTGGGAAAAATGGCTGACCACATGCAGAAGATTGAAACAGGACCCCTATCTATCCCCATACACAAAGGTTAACTCCAAATCGATCAGAGACCTAAATGTAAAACCTCAAACCATAAGAACCTTAGAAAAGGAAGGAAATACCCTCATGGAAATCGGAACTGGCATCCAGTTTCTGAACAAAACCCGAAACCCACAGGTCATAAGAGAGAAGATAGACAAGTGGGACCTTATTAAACTGACAAGCTTCTGCAAGGCCAAAGAAACCATCAAGAGAGCAGGGAGACAGCCTACAGACTGGGAAAAAGTATTTGCCAACACCAGGTCTGACAGAGGTTTAGCATCCTGGATCTACAAGGAACTCAAAAGTGCTGAAAAGAAAAAAACAAACAACCCCATTATAAAATGGGCAAAAGATATGAACATACAGTTTACAAAAGAAGACATCCGAGCAGCCAACAAACACATGAAGAAATGTTCAACCTCACTAATCATCAGGGAAATGCAAATCAAAACCACACTGAGATACCACCTAACTCCTGTCAGAATGGCAATTATCAACAACTGAAAAAATAACAGCTGCTGGAGAGGGTGTGCTGAAAAGGGAAGACTTCTACACTGTTGGTGGGAGTGTAAACTAGTGCAACCTCTGTGGAAAACAGTGTGGCGATTCCCAAAAGCTCTAAATATCAGCCTCCCATATGACCCCACAATCTCCCTACTGGGAATATACCCTGAAGAACTCAAATCACTCCATAAAAAACATACCTGCACAAGTATGTTTATCGCAGCATTGTTCACAGTAGCAAGAACCTGGAAGCAACCATGCTGTCCAGCAAAAGAAGACTGGATTAAAAAAATGTGGTACATATACACGATGGAATACTATGCAGCCATAGAAAAACAAAATCATGAATTTCGCAGCAACCTGGATGGAACTAGAGTCTATAATACTGAGTGACCTCTGACAGAAACAAAGATCCAAGTATCACATGTTCTCACTCATATAATGGATCTTGAACATCCAATGTAATACTATAAGAAAATGACTGACGGTACTGGGAAACTATGGGGGTGGAGGGAGATGGGATTAACAGCTGCAAATATCTGTCTGGAGACGGGGAAAACCTCTTATCAACAGGGTGCCTGAATGAAACGTCATTGTATACCTAACCCTTAACTGTACCCCACAAAACCATAATAAAAAATATTTTAAAAAAAGAAAACAATGTTGAGCAAAAGAAGCAAGATACAAAATAATAAATATAATATGATTCCATTAATATAAAAATCCAGGGCATGGTGGTGCATGGTGGTGCAAGCCTGTAATCCCAGCACTTTGGGAGTTCAAGGAGAGAGGATGGCCTGCCTAGTGTTTCGAGACCTGCCTAGGCAACGTGGAAAGACTCATTTCTTCAATGAATCAAAAAATTAACTGGGCGTGGTAGCACATGCCTGAGGTTCCAGCGACTCGGAAGGTTGAGGCAGAAGGATTGCCTGAGCCCAGCAGGTTGAGGCTGCGGTGGCTGTGAGCGTGCCACTGTACTCCAGCCTGGGCAACAGAGTGAGACTCAGACTCAAAAAAAAAGAAAAGAAAAAGGCAAGAGGATGATACTCATGCTGGTGATTACTTCTGTGGGGGAAAATGGCTTACCAGGGCAATGGAGGACTTTGGGGTGTTGGCAGTAGTGTGTTTCTTGTCTCGAATGTGGTTACCTGGGAATTTCCTTTGCATTTGCGACACTCTGCATGTATCTTTTTATCTACTTTTCTTTCTTTTTTTTTTTGAGTTGGAGTCTCGCTCTGTCACCCAAGCTGGAGTACAGTGGCACGCTGGGCTGGTGATCCTTCTACCTTAGCCTTCCAAGTAGCTGGAACCACAGGCGCACACCACCACACCCAGCTAATATTTTTATTTACTGTGGAGACAAGGTCTTGCCATGTTGCTCAGGCTGGTCTAGAACCCCTAGACTCAGGCAATCCTCTCACCTCCACCTCCCAAAGTGCTGGGATTACAGATGTGAGCCACCACGCCCAGCTATCTACTTTTCTATAGGTGACTTTGTATCACAGTAAAAAAAAAGGGAAAAGTAGAACCGAATAGAAACTTCCAGAAATTTAGCCTTGTATGTGTATTGATTTATTATATGATAAACGAGACATTTCCAACAAGTGGGGAAAAGGATGTATCCGCCAATAAACTGGAGATAATTGGGTTTTCTCAAGGAAGAAAACAAGATTCCTAACTCATTCCATGAACACAAATATATTCTAGATAGAGATTTAAATATAAGAATGAAACTATTAGTGGCAGAAGAAATATAATATTGATGTCTAAAATGGCTTCCTTAGCAAGATAGTATATGCAGGTACTGTAAAAGAAGAGATTTATATAGATTGCAAACTTCTATACAGTAGAAGACAGAACAAACAAACCAAAAAGAGAATGGGAAAAATATTTGCAACATCTATAATAGATGCAGTCAATATTTGTGAGAATGTGGAGAGATGAGTTCTTTGAACTATAAATTGGTGCAGTCTTTTGGGAAGACAGCTCTTTTCAACATTTAAATTATGTTATTACCTATAACTCTATGTCTTTAAAAATTGTCCTTTTGGCTGGGCTCGGTGGCTCAGCCTGTAATCCCGCGCCTTTGGGAGGCTGAGGTGAGTGTATTGCCTGAGCCCACGGGTTCAAGACCTGCCTGGGCAGCGAGACCTCATCTCTACAATAAATCAAAAAATCAGCCGGGCATGGTAGCACATGCCTGTAATTCCAGCTACTTGGAAGGCTGAGGCAGAAGGATCGCTGGAGCCCAGCAGGTCGAGGCTGCGGTGACCAGGAGCGGCCACTGCACTCCAGTCTGGGCGACAGAGTGAGACTCCAACTCAAAAAAAAAAAAAAAAAAAATTGCCCTTTTGAAAGACTTGCATATGACACGAGATGTATGTACAAAGAAATTCCCCATAGCATATAGAGTAGGAAAAATGTTTATTCCTAGAGGAATGATTAAACAAATTATGCCTATAATATGGAATATTGCCATTCTTATGTTTACCATGGTATGAAAATGTCAAGGCACATTGTTATTTTAAAAAGTCATTTTTACATCTAAAAAACTTTATTATTACACGTATGCACAAAATCATAAATAGTTAAAATTCTTTATATATATATATATATATATATATAGTCATACTGTGTTATGTGTTTAAGTAAATACAGTAGTGTCCAGAAGGATACTAATGAGAATATTAACAATAGTGGTTACCTCTGGAGGTAGGGAGTGAAGTAGACTACTTTTTTTTTTTTTTTAAGTTGGAGTCTTACTCTGTCACCCAGGCTGGAGTGCAGTGGCACGCTCCTAGCCACCACAGCCTCAACCTGCTGGGCTCAGGTGATCCTTCCACCTCAGCCTTCCAAGTAGCCGGAACTACAGGCACGCACTACCATGCCCAGCTAATTTTTTGCTTTATTGTAGAGACAAGGTCTCACTATGTTGCCCAGGCTGGTCTTGAACCCGTGGATTCAGGCAATCCTCTCACCTTGGCCTCCCGAAGTGCTGGGATTATAGGCTTGAGCCACCATGCCTGGCCTGAATTTTTCTATCTTGTTTTAATTTTACATAGTGAATATATGTTGTGTAACTAATTTTTTCAGAATAGTGTTATCTCTATTACCGAGCTTTTAAAGTAATGTTTTATCACAAAATGAGGAAATGTAAGCTCGACATCTATGTCTGAACATGGTGCTGTTGAGCGGATGGTTGGGGAGGGGTCTCTCCACGGTTCCTTCGACTCTAATGCTTCTCTTTGTTCAACAGTCACCATAGAAGCACTGCAGTGTTTTTTATTTTCAAAGATATGGGCGTATTGGCTCTACTTTTTTCTTATTTCCTATTCCCCTACCTTTGGAATTTTCAAATGAGGAACTCTACATCTCCATCTAATTTGTAGTTTTACTTTTTGTCCAGGCCCATCAAACTCCAGTGAAGAGAGTAAATCCTGGAGAAGAAAGGAGGAAAATGTTTGAGGTATAAAGACTATTTGTCTGCTTATTTTGATACTTTGCAAACATAATTAAAAAATAAAATAAAATCTTGTCATGTAAAGCCTCCAAACCTTTCCTCCTTATTTCTTTCAAACAAGTACCTACAACTTATTTTATTTTTTAACCTTCCTGGGCATACCTCTGCCATTGGTGTACTAACTTTCCTAATGAAACTCGAAAAAGTAGGCATTATTATTTATTGAAATATTCTTTTTTTATTTAAGGGTACAACAAGAAAGAGAAGGTTGGAATTTACTGAAAAAGGAAAGAAACAGAAGGATCAGGTAGTTTTTGCTCTTATTTTTCTTCCTTTGCCAAGTTGTAAGTGATAATAGCTTCAAGAGTTTTAAGAAGTTGCTCTCTAAAATTGTTACAGATTATTAGTGTAATGAAGGCTGAGCAAATGAAAAGGCAAGAGAAGGAAAGGGTAAGAGGGCAGCCCTGTTTTCATGGTGCACTTCTCCCTCCCCCACACTGGTGCTCTGGTGTTGCTAAATACACTTCGTGTCTTTCGTAGCACATACTTGAAGTGGTGTTTTGTGTGTTTCTCGCCCCCAAAGCTGGAGAGGATACACAGGACCAGGGAGCAAGGCTGGAGAGACGTGCTGCGTGCCGGCGGAGGCGGGGAGGTGAAGGTAGGCGTCTGGCCCACGCTGCTCTCCTGCGGCTTCTTCATTCCACCTTGCTCTTGGTGTCTGTCAACTGGGCCTTGCATTTTTGTCTTTTCGGTGGACAGTTAATTTTTGTCTGTAATTCTTCAGCACTGATTTTGAGTCTTGGCTTTCCTGTATATATTTAGTATGTAACAAGTATGGATAACTAATATGTGACACTTAGAACTGCTTTAAAAACTTTATGGGATGACTCTTGTTACACCATTTTTGTCAGAGGAATGTTTTTGTTTTTTTCCCCCCCTTAAACAGCTTTATTATCTCTCCCGAACGACAGGAATTTGTCTGATAGCTCCCCGAAGACCAAATATCAAGTGTAGCCAAATAGTTAGAGGAATGTTTTTTAAATTAAATAGTTTGTCACGCCTCTGCTTACAACCCTTCTGTGGTTTCATGTGGCCTCCAAGGTTGGGTTCTCAGAAGACCCCTCTTAATCTGGTCCCTGACGGCTTCTCCAAGTCTGACTCCACCCGTTCCCTCCACACACTGTATGCGCGGCTCATGCCGAACTGAAGACTGTACTCGTGGTTTCCTCGTGTGAGCCTCCTGTGAATCGCCGTGTCTCTGCTCCTGCATTTTCTTGGACTTTATAGCACCCTCTTGCCCTCCTCACCCTCACCGACCTCCATCCATTTACCTTGATGACCTATTACCTAGAAAGCCATTTACCTCGGGACATTAATTCAGACATTCTCTTTGGCTAGGTTCAGACTGTATAACCTTGGGCCAGTTACTTTTCTGAGCTTTAGTTTCTTCATTTATAAAAAGTGTTTTTGTTGTTGCTTTGTTTTTTTCTGAGAACAATGCCTGGAACTTGACTGGCAAAGGCTTATACAGTATTTTCCTTTTTTGTTCTGCCACTCTGAATCTTACACTTCCTCTTTTGCTCCTGTGGCATCCTATACTTGTCTCTGTCTATGAAAGGTCCAGGTCTAAAGTGGGATCCAAGATTCTCAACCCCTGATCTACACACCTCCTGTCATTCTCTCCCTTTGGGTGTCAGTGGTACCCTTAAAAACTGTGGCCTTTGAGCAGTTGTATATCAGGAGGTGAGTGGAGTTGCTCCCATGTTGACATTTTTAAAAATTAATTTATTTTTTATGTATTTTTATTTTTTTTGAGTTGGAGTCTCACTCTGTCGCCCAGACTGGAGTGCAGTGGCCGCTCCCGGCCATTGCAGCCTCGACCTGCAGGGCTCCAGCGATCCTTCCGCCTCAGCCTTCCAAGTAGCTGGAACTACAGGCGCGTGCTACCACGCCCGGCTAATTTTTTGATTTATTGTAGAGATGAGGTCTTGTTAAGTTGCCCAGGCGGGTCTCGAACCCACGGGCTCAGGCAATCCACCATGTTGACATTAACTTACTAGACTCCTTAGTAGCAACCTGGAAGGGGGAAGGAAGTCAGAACAGCATAGTGCCTTGGAAGATAGTAAACAACTATGTGGCAACAAAGTAGACGTGGCTTCTAGATGCTGATAGTGGTCTCTGACCAACAACTAGCAAAAGAAAAAAAAGTTACTTTACTTGGTGTAGCCACTCGGAAATTAATTCTGCCAAGAACCAGTGAACTTGGAAGAGACCCCGAGCCTCCAATGAGAATCGTACCCCCGCTGACACCTTGATTTCTGCCTGGTGAGATCCTGAGCAGGGCACCTAGCTAAACCTACCCAAACTCTTGAGCCAGGGAAACAGAGAGAATAAATGGATATGGTTGTAAGCGCTAAGGTTCTGATAATTTGTTACACAGCAGTAGAAAATGAATGCATTATTATTCCTCTGCATTATAATTTTAGTTTGTGTCACTGAACCAACTTTTAATCAATACAGTTTTGAACCATAAACTCCTCTAACCCAGCCTCATTAATCTTGGTATTTAAGTATACAATAGATATTTGTCAAGTTGAATTGGTAATTCTTTTTTTTTTCAGAAGTTATGATTTGAATACAAGTTTGCTTTGCTTGTTTTATCCAGATATATATCCTGTCTTGGATTTACAGATTTGTTTTTCAGTCTCTTGAGATGCAGAAGTTTTCATATCACATAGCAACCATTCAATAAGAGTCATATTGTCCAATTGTGTATTACTATAGACTTATACAGTGTTTTTTTAGTAGTATATGTTTATCTTGCTATTAAGTCGAATTTATTACCCCCTGAATGACCGATCAGGAATGACTCAGACAGAATTTGGTCTATTCTAAAATAACTAACCCCATATCTTATCTGATTGGAAAGTGAAAACAAAGTGCAGGCCCTGTATCTCGTCAAGCATTTTGAATCAAGTTCACAGAGTTAAGATTTGATGATTTTTCTTCTTCTCCCTTTGCATATATCTTCTGTGTAACACCTTTTCCTGTGCTGTCTACAGTGATATTTGACCCTAAAAGTCCAGTTCTATTGATGCTGTTTGATATCTGAGACAAATTTTCAACTCTTAGATACTATGTGCTTAATAGATTTCGGCTTCACTTTATAAACGTCTGTAATGTTTCCATTGAGGAGCAATAAAATAATTTATTTTCCATGATTTAAGGCAAATTCTGTTTGTTTCTGTATTTATTCCTCATTGAGTTTGAAATCCATGACTTGTTAGGCCTTTTTATTTCTGCATAGTTGATAAAGACCTGGAGGCTCAGTATAATGTAAATCAAATTAAAGAGATCCTCAAAATAATGACAAAAATCAAATCTTAATACTGTTACTATATACTTCTAAATAATAGACATTATTATTCACAGTGTAAATATCTGTATATAAGTCTTTGATTATTTAGTATCCGCAAAATCTTGGACCTGGAACTTTTTTTTTAGAGACAGGGTCTTGTTCTGTTGCCTAGGCTGGAGGGCAGTGGTGTGATTATAGCTTACTGCAGCCTCAAACTCCTGGGCTCAAACATCCTCCCACCTCAGCCTCTCAAAGTGCTAGGATTACAGGCATGAGCCACCACACCCAGACAAAAAGTGGTTTTCTTTAAAGGCCGCCACTCAGCATTAGTCGTGTTGTTCTGTCTTTATTTTCGAATAGGAAAAGTTCAAATAAGCTGACTTTTGCATTTGAGGTTCTTAATTTCCTCTACTCAATAAAGTTCTTCCACTATGACTTCTCCAGCACTTTTCACTTACTTTTGACTCTTATCCTTTTCTGACATTCCTCTTTTTTAACTGTGGGTTTTCCCTGGGGTCGAGTCCTTCCTTCTGTCTCTGCCTTTATCCTTGTCATCCCCGCAGAGAATCCAGGATCCCTTCAGTGCTGACTTTTTCGTGAGTTGCTTCTCTTCCAGCTTCTTGGCATTGTGTGTGTGCAGCAGCGATCTCTCATGAGTCCCTCTGCCTTGGTTTCTCTCTTATTTCTGCTTCTCATGCAAAATATTGACTTACCGTCCTTCTTACAATTGTTTTGGTAGGCTCCAACTGCTGGAAAAGGCATAAATGCTTTCTGTTATTTATCATACGAACGCAGACACCCAGGGCTGGGGGTGTGTAGCTGCACCAATCCTTGACAGCCAAATTCAGCGTTCCTGTTTGCCTTCCTACCAATGTGTTTGTCGTCATGATTCCTTCCCTCATCATCAGCATCCAACTGCATGCATACATTGCGTATTTGTACTCCAGTACCCAGCTCCTATCAGCTTTCTCATTGTTACGTTGCTGTCAAGGCCAGGTTAAACAATATCTTTCTCTGGGGCTTGTTGTTGTTGTTGTTGTTGTTGTTGTTAATAGGGATTTTACTTTTGATGGGTTTTTTCCTACTTTGTGGATTTGCTCGGTAGGTATTTACTACTTTGGAGTACCTCTGTTATCATTTACCACAGGATTGAAATGCTTTTCTAGTTTCGTGCTTTTTCCTTCAACTTGATTGGCAACTATTCAAAGATAGATATGATGTTTTACCTTTTCAATTTGCATATGGAGTATGTTTCAATAATGTTTCTACCTTCATATCTGCTTGATGAATTGAAGGATTGGGGGTACATTAAAAACCATGTGCAAATATTTCTGTTAAACATAATTTTGGGTGTTATAGCAGCAAGTTCTCTTTTACTTATAAGTCATATATACTTCAGCTTAGTAGACCAGAATCACACGAAATGTATATTAGAAATTTGTTGTTCGCTGTCTGGGGAACGGGCCACCTGAGACCCAGTCCCCACCACTACACAGTCTGTTCATGTAATGAATATGCCTGTGTACCCCTGAATCTAAAATTAAAAATTAAAAAAAATTGTTTCAAAATTTGTTAAGTAAGAACACATTTTCCCATATTTGCACAAAATTACTGTTGTTTTTCTGTTCTTGTTTATGTTAATGTTGTCACAGTTAATTATGTTTTATTGTTCATAACAAAGTAGAAAAGTAGACTACTTTTATTGTTAATAGTTATAGTAGCAAACCATTTCAACCCAGACTTTATGTTTATTGACATGTTCCTTTTAAGTAATTACATTTTAAAAGTAGAGAATTGAAGTTTACTTTTCATGAGATAAGCATGTGAGAGCTCTTTGTTTGCTCCCCAGACCCCCTTTCTTGGCAGTGGAGGGGCTGTGGCTTCATCATCCTTTAAATCACGAGGACAGTATGAACATTACCATGCCATTTTTGATCAAATGCAGCAGCAAAGGACAGAAGATCGTGAAGCTAGATGGAAAGGAGAAACACATGGCCGGGGACTACCAGAAAGGTATGGCTGCATTCAGCAGAAGTCACTCAGGCTGTGCCTCAGAGGAAGTAATGACGGTCACTGTGCATGTTTATCTACAGAGGGATTCTGCCTGGAGTTCGTCCAGGATTTCCTAGTGGGGCTGCAGGTCATCACCATTTTCCTGATGCTGATGATATTAGAAAAGCTTTGAAAAGATTGAAGGCCGTGTCTAAACAAGCCAGTGCAAACAGGTTGGACTGTGATGATCCATGAACTTATCCCGTGTATATCTTGTCTCCTGTCATGTGTAGCTTAGTACCTACACCTTGCTGTTTTCTCCGTTGTTCACATCGAGTACCTTTTGCCTCCTGGATGCAGTAATTTTCTCAGGTGCAGACTTGGCCCTTGAGTACGGATGGCAAGCATGTGGCACTGCAGTGCGGCCTGATTTTTGTGTCTCATTTATGTGTTTAGACAGAACGTACTACTTAAAGGAACATGTGATAACTTTCACTCAACATATGGTTGCAGTGTTTCATCATCCACTTGCTTTAAGTAAATCAGAATATAAATTTAGATGGAATCACACTTATGCATATCTCCACAGCATGTTTTTTGGCCTAATTTTCTTACCACTTAAAACCCTCTTCTATCTTTGTTTGTCTTAGCACTTTTTTCCTTCACATTCATTTCTGATTTATAACTTTTTGTGAACTGTTCGTCAGATTTTTTTCTTTTCTTCTGTTGACTTAATTTAATAAAGGTAATTTTTTTTGCATAGTTCTATTTGTCTTAAGTATGCATATGTGTTTTCGCAGACGTTCCTATTTCTTCTCTAAAACATTCTGGTGAGTGACTGAAGAACAGATAGTGTTTTGTGAAAATTTAGTCACATCATCTTTTCCTTGTGTGGATTTTAAGGAGAGTGTTACTTTATGAATTCCGCCTCCATTATAAAAGATAATTAAATGTACTTGAGCATGATACATGGTGAGGTAAATATAAATTAACATGTGAATACATGATAAATTATTTACAGAATTAAATGAGATGTGAAATGAGTTATAGATTCTTTCTGTTTTGAGAAAGGAAATCTACGGACTCACATATATGCATCTTTTTTATAAATGATGAAACAAATGTGTGATACTTTTATCCTCTAGAATTATTGATTTTTCTAGTATATTTATTCAGATGTATATGTTTTCATTAATGAACTTTGTTTTTAGAGCAACTCTAGGGCCCAGCAAAATCAACGGAAAGCACAGGGAGTTCCCTCTTGTTTTTCCCCACACACAAACAGCCTTCCCCTCGACACCACACCTGAGCGACAGCAGTATTCCAGTCGATGAACTGGTCCATTATCACCCAGAGTCCATAGTATTGAGAGGAGAGTTCACTGTTGGTATCAGACACTCTGTTGGTTTTGGCACATATGTCACTACATGTGTCCACCGTTGCAGTGTCAACCACAACAGTGTCCCTGCCCTAAAAACCCTCGGGGCTCCATTTAGTCATCCTTCCTCCCTCCTCACCCCTGGCAACCGCTGATTATTTTACTGTCTTCATGGTTTTACTTTTTCAAAATGTCATGTAACTGGAATTGTGCAGTGTGTGGCCTATTCAGATTGTCTTCTCTCTTTAGTAATATACATTCAGGGTACCTCTATGTGTTTTCATGGTTTGATACCTTCGCTTTTAATATCCCATTGTTTGAAATGTTCCACACTATATTCATTTACCTGCTGAAGGACTTCTTGGTTGCTTCTAAGTTATGTAAGGCAATTATGAGTTTTTTAACCTTATTTTTTATAGTGTATTTTCTTTTTATACTTTTTTTGTTTCTTAAGTTGGAGTCTCACTCTTCTTATCCAGGTTGGAGTATAGTGGCACACACACGGCCATTATACTCGACGTGCTGGGCTTAGGCGATCTTTCCGCTTCAGCCTCCTGAGTAGCTGGACCTACAGGCTTGCACTACCATGCCTGGCTTATATTTTGATTTTTTTGTAGAGACAAAGTCTCACCAAATTGCTCAGGCTGGTCTTAGACCCCTGAGCTCAGGCAGTCCTCTCACCTTGGCCTCCCAAAGTGCTGGGATTACAGGCTGAGCCACTGCACCCAGCCCTTTTTATACTTTTTACAGAGATGGGATCTTGCTGTGTTGCCCAGGCTGACCTTGAACTCCTGGCCTCAAGCAACTCTCCCGCCTCAGCTTCCCAAAGCCCTGGGGTTAAAGGTGTGAGCCACCACGCCCAGCCTATTTTTGTTGTTGTTATTGTTTTTTGTTTGTTTTTGAGACAGGGTCTCACTCTGTTGCCCAGGCTGTAGTGCAGTGGTACAATCATGGCTCACTGCAGCCTCAGCCTCCTGGACTCAACTGATCCTCCCACGTTAGCCTCCTTTGCATAGCAGGGACTACAGGTGCACGCCACCATGCCCAGCTGGCAGTTATGAATATCGCTGCTACAGACATCTGTGTGCACATAAGTTTTTAACTAGGTAAATGCTGAGGAATATCATTGCTAGATCATGTGGTAAGAGTATGTTCAGTTTTGTAAGAACCCACCAACCTGTTTTCAAAAGTGACTGTGCCGTTTTGGATTCCCACCAGCAGTGTCGAGTGCCTGTCGCTCCATGTCCTTGCTAGCATTTAGTGTTGTCAGTGTTTTGGATTTTGGCCATTTTATTAGGCATGTAGTGGTCTCTCACTATTTTAGTTGCTGTTCTCTCAATGTGTGGTGTTAAACAGCTTTGTGTGTGCTTCTTGCCACCAGTCTATGTTTTTTGTTGAGCTGTCTTTTCAGGTATTTTGCCCATTTTTACATTGAGTTATTCATTTTCTTTTTCTTTTCTTTTCTTTTTTCTTTTGAATTGGAGTTTTACTCTGTTGCCCAGGCTGGAGTGCAGTTGCCTGATGATAGCTACTACAGCCTCAACCTTCTGGACTCATGTGAATCCTTCTGCCTTAACCTTCCAAGTAGCTGGAACTACAAGCGTGCACCAACACGCCCACCTCATTTTTTGGATTATTGTAGTGACAAGGTCTTGCCAAGTTGTCCAGGCTGGTCTTGAACCCCTGAACTCAAGCAATCCTCTTGGCTCTGCCTGCCAAAGTGCGAGGATTACAGGCGTGAGCCACTGAACCCGGCGAGTTGTTCATTTTCATATTGTTGAGTTTTAAGAATTCTTTGTATATTTTAGAAAACAGTCTTTTATTAGATATGTCTTTGCAGAAATTCTCTCTCCTTGGAACTTGTCTATTCCCTTGATATTGTCTTTGGCAGAGCAGACATTTTATTTTACTTTATTTTATTTTATTTTTATTTATTTATTTTGAGTTGGAGTCTCACTCTGTCACCCAGACTGGAGTGCAGTGGCCGCTCCCAGCCACCACAGCCTTGACCTGCTGGGCTCCAGCGATCCTTCCGCCTCAGCCTTCCAAGTAGCCAGAATTATAGGCATGCGCTACCACGCCCGGTTGATTTTTTTGATTTATTGTAGAGATGAGGTCTCGCCTGCCCAGGCGGGTCTCGAACCCGTGGGCTCAGGCAATCCACTCACCTCAGCCTCCCAAAGGTGCAGGATTACAGGCTGAGCCACTGAGCCTGGCCAAGAGCAGACATTTTAAATTTTAGTGCAGTCTAGCTTATCAGTTGTTTCTTTTATGGATTGTGCCATTGGCATTATATCGAAAAAGTTATCACCATATCCAAATTCATTTAGGTTTTCTCTACGTTATAGTTTTGTGTTTTATATTTAGGTCTGTGACCCATTTTGAGTTAAGTTTTGTGAAAGATATTAAGTCTGTGTCTAGATTCATTTTATTGCATGTGAGTTTCTTCTAGGCAACATATAATTAGGTCTTGTTTTTTGATCTACCCTGACAATCTTTATCTTTTAATCGGTGCATTTAGACTAGTGATGTTTGTGATTACTGATACAATTGGATTAGTATCATACATATTACTGTTTTCTATTTGTTGCTCTTGTTCTTTTTTCCTATTTTTGTATTTCACATTTTTTCTGCCTTTTGTGTTTTTTCGTAAAGTTTTTTTTTAAAGGGATAGTGTCTTGCTATGCTTCACAGGTTGGACTTGAACTCTTGGCTTCAAACAGTTCTTCCACCTTGGGTTCCCAAAGTGCTGGGACTACAGGTGTGCACCCTCGCACCCCAATTGCTTTTTGTTTGTTTGTTTGTTTGTTTTTTTAAGTTGGAGTCTCACTCTGTTGCCCAGACTGGAGTGCAGTGGCCGCTCCCGGCCACCGCAACCTCGACCTGCTGGGCTCCGGTGATCCTTCTGCCTCAGGCTTCCGAGTAGCCAGAATTACAGGCGCGCGCTGCCACACCCGATTAATTTTTTGATTTTATTGTAGAGATGAGATCTCGCCTGCCCAGGCGGGTCTTGAACCCGCGGGCTCAGGCAATCCACTCATCTCAGCCTCCCAAAGGCACGGGATTACAGGCTGAGCCACCGAGCCTGGCTGCTTTTTGTTTTAATTAAACATTTTACATGATTTCTTTTTCTCTCCTGCCTTAGTTATACTTCTTTTTAAGCTGGTTTTAGTGGTTGCCCCAGAGTTTGCAATATACACTTACAATTAATCCAAGTCCACTTTCACATAACACTACACCCCTTCAAATAACTATTCCACTTACAATAACAACATATTTCTGATTTCCCCTTCCTGCACCTTATGTCATCACTGTCATTTATTTCACTGGTACATAAGCACATATGTGCACACACAGCATACATAATTGAATACGTTGTTGCTATTACCATTTTGAGCAAACTGCTAACTGCTATATTAACTAAGAATAGGAAGAATGGAAGTTTATGTTTTGTCTTCACTTATTCCGTCCTGAGTGTGCTTCCTTTCTTTGTATAGGTCTGAGTTTCTGAATTAAATCACTTTTGTTTTCTCTGAAGAACTTCATTTAACATTTCATACAAGGCAGATTTTTGTTTGTTTGTTTTTTGAGTAGGAGTCTTACTCTTATCTCCCAGAGTGCAGTGGCACACGGCTCACAGCCACTGCAGCCTCGACGTGATGGGCTCAGGCGATCTTTCCGCCTCAACCTTCCAAGTAACTGGAACAACAGGCATGCACCACCACTCCCAGATAATTTTTTTTTTTAAATTTATTGTGGAGACAAGGTCTTACCATGTTGCCCAGGCTGGTCTCGAACCCGTGAGCTCAGGCAGTCTTCTTGCCTCAGCCTCCCAAAGTGCTGGGATTACAGGCA